AGGACCAGGTGGGATCATTGTGCCTGGATGAGGAAACAGTGACACAGCCTGTGAGCCCGAAGCTTTATTTGATAGTCAGATCACACAAAGCAAAACAAGGGGAGTGGTCAACATGTTTACAATGTTCTTGCAAGTTTCAAATCTATTTCGTTACTCAAGCCTTGTTTTGGCAGCACTTGCTGCACCTCCCACAGCCCATTAGCTACCTAGGAACAAGGGAGGACTGTAAGGTCAAGCTTAATTGTGCTAGGAGGGCTCTGCCCGCCAAGCTGGGACTTGTATGTGGCTCTGCCACAGGTCAGTCCGAGGCTTGACCCTGTAGCCACTATCTACAATTTTTATTGCACAAAATTTTTTATTTATATCCTGTATAAGCTAAGGGAAAATGGTCAGCAACTAACTCAGCTGTGTTCTCAGAGAGCAAAGCTTGGTCTGGTTCACTCAGTGCTGAAACTCAGTTGACCCCTAAAGATGACCTTGAACTCCTGCTGATTTTCTTAGTTTCATGCACTGTTGAGCTCCAGACGAAGAGCCCAGAGTCCTAGGCTCTGGCCCCCATTTTATTGCTGACAACCTGTAATGTCTTGGGCAATTTACTTACTAGTAACTTCTATCTCAGTCTATCACCTACAAAATGGGTGTAATATTCAAAGAAAATAATGTTGTTTGCCCTACAAAGTGCTATACACATAAATGTAAAAGATTACTGTTATTGAGGCAGAGCAACATCGAACAGACTGTCAAACTACAGCAGGAAGGCTGGGGAGGGTTGGGGGGAGGGGTGGGTAAGAGATCAACCGAAGGACTTGTATGCATGCATATAAGCATAACCAATGGACACAAGACACTGGGGGGTATGGGAGGCTAGGGGAAGGTCAAGGGGAGAAAAAAAAAGGAGACATATATAATACTCTTTGTAATACTTTAAGCAATAAAACAATTTTAAAAAGATTACTGTTGTTAAAGGGAAACTTAGGGGTGGCCCACCTTGCCCAGGTTATGCACATTTCATGGGGTCCCAACTTTGCCAAAGTGTTTCCATGGATCTCCTGGGAGAGCGGCAGAGGCCACGGAGTTTGGTCCATGAGAAATACATAAATTTCTCCTTAGTTTCGCCTTATCTGTGTTCAGCCTGATGCTTGTGGCCCAAGAGAGTGTATTTAAGTGGCAGAAAATCAGTGAAAAAGTCTCAGAGGAGAGCAGAGAAATGCTCTTTGGGAGCTAAAGCAGGCAAGAGAGGGACTATCTTATAAGTACCACGTGCTAACCGATTGCGCCACTGGAGCTCCGAGAGGGACTATCTTTAGGGCACTTCCTTCCTCTCTCTTCCAGGAACATCTAATGAGATTCTATGTGCCTGGCACCAAGCTAATGTTTCTAGACCAGTGTGTGTGCAGCCTGTACCTAACTCTACTCTGGATGGGTGGTGGGCAGCAGTGCAATGACTGACACCCACTTACTGGCCTGGACTTGGGCATCGAGGGTTGCAAGCCAGAACGTGATTGGCCCACCTCCCCAAGAATCCCTCACCAGCCTGCCAAGAACCCTCTCATCTGGTCGAAATGCCTTCGCTTAGTGAGTGTTGGGTACTTTGTGTACATTATCTTACTTATTCTTTCTAACAACTCTCTGGCATAGGGACTATTATTAAACCGTGTCACAGAGGAGGAAACTGAGGTTTGCTCACTTGCACAAAGTCACACAGTGAGTTAGCATCAGGGCCGAGACCAGACCACAGCCCCCTCTCCACCTGCTACCAGCCAGTACTGCAGTCTTCTCTCCACCCTCCCGCGGCTCCCAGAGCCCCTTTGCTTGTGCACATGAACACTCACCCACTGAAAACCAGAAGTGCTGAGAATTTACCTCCTCAACTGAGACTGCCGGCAGGTGCTGGTATAACACAGTCTGTCCAGCTTCTTTGCCTCTTGTCGGAACAGCTCTGGATTGTATTCTTCAGTGGTTCCCTGCAGAATAGAATGACTTTCTAGCCCAGCTGGTGTGGCTCAGTGGTTGAGTGTCGACCCATGAACCAAGAGGTCCCCAGTTTGATTCCCAGTCAGGGAACATGCCTAGGTTTCGGGCTCAATCCCTAATTGGTGGGGGAGGTAGGGCTTGTAGGAAGCAGCTGATTGACATCTCTCTCTCTCATTGATGTTTGTATCTCTCTATCCCTCTCCCATTCTCTCTAAAATCAATAGAAACATATTAAAAAAATAAAATGACTTTCTATACAGTGTTTGTCTGGCTTGTTCTCATCCTCTTCCCAGTCCTACTCCCTCATGCCCCTAAAACATCACTAGCTCACAAAGGTTGGCTCCTGGGGGACCCAGTTAGGTATGGGCTGAGCTGGGGCAAGACCTTACTCAGTGACTGAGTCCAAGAGAGAATTCAGAAGCTGGGTCTGGGTGATACTCCGAGCAAGAGTCCAGATGACCCCAATAATTGTGTCACATGGGAAAGGCTTCATTTAAGAGCCCTTCAGAGTGAAAGGCACTGAATTAGACAATTTACATATCTACCTCATTTAATATTAAAACACCTCCCTATTAGACTTTTCTAGTTTTCATTGGAATTTTTGAGATTATACACATTCAATGAAATTCAACTTTCACTAATCTTAAAACCACAATCTAGGTGAAGTAGCATTTCGAAATTTCATCTTGGTGGGACTCTGACTACATGTTGCCTCAGTGATAAGACCCTTTATTTGACCTCATCATCACTGCCCACCCTTTCTTGCTAACTGTCCTGTTTCTCATATATTCATGTACATGGCATTCATGCGGGTGACATTCACTTTGCCCTCTGACATGATTGCAGATCTGGGTGTCTCAACCCCAGAGTTCAGGATTGGTGCTCTACAGCTGCACCATCTAATACTGTAGCCACTAGTCACATGTGGCCACTAAGCATTTGTATCATGTTTGGTCTGAATTGAGATGTATTTTAAGTATAAAATATACATGAAGGATTTTGAAGACTTAGTATGAAAAAAAGAATGTAAATTATCTCATTAATGATTTAAAAATATTGCACGTTGAAATGATAATATTTGAGGTATATTAAATAAAGGCTATTAAAATTAATTTTACTTCTTTTTACTTAAAAAAATAAAATTACTGGAAAATTTAAAATGGCACATATGGCTCTCATTATGTTTCTATTGGGCCGTGCTGTTCTACAAACTCAAACAGAGGAGGCTTGGGGAGTGAGCTTGTCCAGTGCCTCCCGGGAAGGCAGGCTGAGCTGGCTGGGAAGGAATTGTGTGGTTGCTTTGATGGCAGGGTTCTTTATGGAATCAGGAGGCAGCAAGGTAAGTCCTTCGTGACATCACTTTAAAAGGTGTGTGCTTCTGTAGACAGCTCTGTGCCCCTCTGGCCAAGAGGATTTATGGCTGAAGAGAGTGGCCATTGGTCCAAATGACACCACCGCACCTCTGGTTCCAGGCTGGGGTTTGTTAACATTTCAGAATTCACATCTGCTCTTTTTTTCATATTATCATATTCTGTGAGGAGAAAGAGGGAAGGAAAGAGAGCTGCTTTGGCTCAGTGAATAGAGCAAAGGGTCCCATCAAGGGCACGTACCTCAGTTGTAGGCTCCTCCCCGGCCCAGGCCCTGGCCGGGGCTCATGCAGGAGGCAACCAACTGATGTGTTTTTCTCACATCAATGTTTCTCTCTGTCTTTCCCTCTCTCTTCCACTCTCTCTAAAAATCAGTGGAAAAAATCCTTGGGTGAGGATTAAAATAATAATAATAATTTAATAATAATAATATAATATAATAATAAATATAAGGGGGCAAAAGAAAGAAAGAGGGAAGGAAAGAGAGAAGAGGAGGGAAGAGAGAAGGGTAGCGGATTATTGTTGATAAGGATGGAGGAAGAAGGACAGAGGGAACCCGAGGGAGAAGATCTCATTAACTAAAATAAAAGGTTCAAAAGTAGGCTAGTCAAGTAATTTGAACTGATGAGTGATTTCCAGTTTTGGGACGTACATTCCAACACCAGGGCTCCACTTTGGGACCTTCCCATTTCAGCGATGTGGCTGGAAGATAGTGGCACCTGTTCTCATAATTTTAGAGGCTAGGAGTCCAAGATCATGGTGCCAGCCAGCATGGTCTGTTTCTGTGAAGACTCCCATCCTGGCTGATGGATGCCCACTGTGTGCTCACATGGCAGAGAGAGAGTTTTGGTCTCTCTTCCTCTTTTTTTTAAAAAAATATATTTTATTGATTTTTTTACAGAGAGGAAGTGAGAGGGATAGAGAGTTA